AGCCCGAGGGGCAGATTTCTACTTGTTGTTTTGATATTGAGCCCTAGGGGCAGATTTCTACTTGTTGTTTTGATATTGAGCCCGAGGGGCAGATTTCTACTCGTCATTTTACTGCCAAATTAGCTGTTTTACCGGTTTAAAAGAAATTTCACATGATGTTTCACCGAATTGTTATTTTAAATGATTTCACTGCTTCTGTATAGAATATTGTGTACCTTAACGTGTTTTCTTACCTTCAGTCATTATTTATATTTATTACTCACTGGGTCGGAGTACTCACATTACTCTCTGCACCATGTGTGCAGGTGCAGGTATTCCTGAAGCATAGAGCGAGTTTTTCTGATGTTCAGTTTTTATCGGAGTTATCGAGGTAGCTGCATGGCGTTCGCAGACCCGTTTTCTCCCTTATCTTCTGTCATTTATGATATCTTCAGACTTTGTTCCTAATTCCATACTTTGTAGAATTTTTAGTAAACTCTGTAGTAGCTTATGACTTGTGACACCCCGGTTAGGGCTACGTTGGGTTGGATTTTCCGTATTTTATCTATACTTTCCGCTATTGGATATTATTAAACCATGTTTATACTATAATTATGTTAATTAATTGTCTTAAAAGGATGAATTGGGTTGAATGGCTGGCCTTGTCTTCATGAGAGGCGCCATCACGACCAGGTTCGGGAATTGGGTCGTGACAAGTTGGTATCAGAGCCTAGGTTACTTAGGTCTCACGAGTCATGAGCAGGTTTAGTAGAGTCTCACGGATCAGTATGGAGACGTCTGTATTTATCCTCGAGAGGCTACAGAACCTTTAGGAAACCTTCACATTCTTGGATTCTTATCGTGCGTCCCTAAGTCAGCTTGAAAAGAAACTCTTGAAATTCCTTCCATGTGTTCGTATGCGCGCATGAGCGCTCAATATCAAATGTGCCTTGATGGCTTGTGAATCCTTGATCGAGGGGCGAGGTGTTATCCCTGTGAGTTTATGGTGGGCCAGTATGGAGGACTTGAGGTTAGATCTTTACTTATGGCGGGAGCACCGAGGTGCTGATTGTGTGAACAAGTGTTTTTGAATTTATATGTTCGGTAGTGTCCCTGTTAGAGGAAATGATGGTTGTGGCTATGTGATAAGTATGTTAGTACTGCGAGGCGTATCTATATGATTTGGAAGCCACGAGGAGGGTCTGCTGAATGATGGAAGAACTAATAGATGCTTGAAGTCCATCGCGATTCAAGTTATATCCCGAGTTATGGGCGTGTGAAGAATCTTTTCATGTCTCCTAGTTGGGAGTGAAGTAAATTTCATGTTGCGGTATGAGTATAGACTCAGGAAGATCAAGTGACTACGTAATGCTTATNAGCGTTAGTGCGACCGGTGGTTTGGAGGTACGCTCCAGATATTGTTGTGGTAGGTTGTGGGAGTGTGTCCCACGGGAAGATTATATAAGTGTGGCATGTGATCACTTGATTGATTAAAGATGTAAACCAAGTATGAAGTTTGTGATGGTGTCGTTAAATTGAAGATTCATGCCTGGAGGGCACTTGGCTTATTGGGTTGTGAACTGGGGAGGATTACTCCGATTGTGATGGTTGTTCTTGTGTGTTATGAGAAAAATAGGAGTTATTATGGACCTTTAAAAGGTTATCAGACTAGTCAGTGTGATCAGAATCAGCTTGCAGTCGGTGGATAGATTTAATGTGAATAATGACTCTATATCAGGCCAGATGTGTGCATTTTAGTAATGTGGTCCTCATGGAAAGTAGTTAGGTTGATGTTTCGTTGTCAAATATTTCGCGTAGTAATGCATTGCGCCGTGTGAGTTGTGAGACAGTTTGAGAAATTGCTCTGTGTTGAGAATCTGCATAGGAATGACGTTATATGAGCATCTTGGCTCTTGAAATTCAGACTGTACATCGCACCTCAGTTGTGCTTGAGTTATGTAGCTTATAGCGCTATATGTCCCTCAGAGATATTGTTATACACTTAGCATGCTTACGATCGATACTCGGTATTTTGTTGTAATGAGCAAATTTGGCTCGATGTGCATCTCCTTATGTGAGATCTATGTGTGGATCGGGTGGCACGCTGCCATGGGTATGTTATCTGGATCGGGTTGCATGCCGCAATAGTGTGATGTTGAGTATAGTTTTCTATATGTTATTTTGTATGCCTTGTTTCCTATTTTCTAAGGAAAGTTCGTATTAGTGCGTGGGATTGGTAATTTCTTCCAGAGTTCATTTTTTTGTATCGTGTTCGAATTAGTAGCCTTTGCCATATTGGGGGCATCATATGCGGCTTTTGATTATGTCTGGGGTGGCTTATTGCCTGAGCAGTTCGTAATGGCTGAGATGAGATCATTGAATTCGAGATTAGTGCAATCTGAGTATATGAAGTAAATTAAGGGGCTAAGACCATTGTTTGGTTCATAATGAGGTGATAGTTCTTGCCAGAAGTATAGACCCAATGAATTGTTAATTCGGCGGTGTTATGAATTTATACCGATCTCATCTGTCGTGTCGGTATTGTAAGAATTTGAACAAGACCTATGTATGTCATGCAGAGCATGGGATGTGTAATGATTTTTCTTCTAGATGGGATCAATGGAAGTTCTTGACTAGTTGAGTACGTAAACATTCATGGTTCGGAAGGGAGGTGAAGTCCTCATGTTACCTTAG